CTCGACCCTTAATGTTGCTTTTATGTAATACTTTATGTATCTGATTTCAGCAAAAACAGAATCACAAGCGCTATTATTATCTCTTCCGATTGTGTAGAAAAGATAGCTGTAAATAATTCAATTTTATTGTCTCATCAACATATTTGAGTAAAAAAGGAATCAAATTTTTAATTTTTATTTAATTTGTTTATACCTACTTTTTGATATTGCAATGGGACGAAGGAGAATCATTTGAATACTGTGCGGCGCCTCTATTTTGAAGAATTGCAAGAAGGTTGGAAYATGTATTGCTTTTTATGATTTAAAGGCACGGGGACAAATACAAAGCAAAAGAATGGAAGAAAGCTCAGGCAGAGTKAAGRCTTGTTTTACGTTACGTYTTTTCCTTGATTCACAGGACAGCGGTCGGCATCTTGTAGTGGTTGATGAATCTAATGAGCACGCTATATCTTACTGGGACTGGCAAAATAAAAAGATGATATCTGAAAACAAGGTAGGATCCGTATGGAACCATTTCCTGTTAATTGTTGACTTTCCGACAGACCAAGTGCATTTTAAATAACAATGTAATGCATGCTGTCTCTGASCAGGGTTCAAGCGATCCCGTCCTTATGACAGTCTGTCATCCACATGACCAATCGGTCATCGTATCTTGCGGCAAGTCACACATTGCGTTCTGGACTGTGCTTGAGTCTGGTGGTCTAATGAAGAAGATGGGAGTCTACGGGGTATGCATGTATCTCATGGAATCTGCATTTAGTATAGTTACAATATATAGCATTACAGTCAACTCTCGCCTTACGGACACCCCGCTATTTCGGACACCTCGATTTTAAGGCGGCTAAATACGAGAAACAAAAACCCTCAACTTGGCGCGAAACATTGTTTCTGTTCAAGTTGAGCATCGGTGTTTCTCGTTTTTCACGATGTATTTTTGTTGCATAACAAGTTGACGATGCATGAAAAACGAGAAACTTTGCGCGCAACATTGTTTCTGTTAAAGTTGAGTATCAAAGTTGATGGTTTTTGTATCTCGTATTTAGCCGCCTTTACGGACACGAGATACTGAAACCCCGGCCAAAGATACAAAGAAATGACTGAAAGTAACTCCCGTTAGTACGGACTCTCGCTACTGCGGACACTAAATAATTACGGTCCCGAGGGTGTCCGTAATAGCGAGAGTTGACTGTATTTACTATTCATTTATTTTACATAAAAAGAAAATCTTCCATAGTWGCATTTGGTCTGTCCGTGGTTCCAAGTAGTTAACTAAACACCTACAGCATCATATATTGTAGCGAATTTCTATATCCGACATATCTTCTCGTTACTTAGGGGCAATGTTATGTCGTTCGTTCGAGCAAGTGCAGAAGATCGTCTCTGGGTTTTCGGGGATCTTGACATATATTTTATTCCCAATCCAACAGAAAATGATAAATCTCAGCATGATGAAGAASTAACTGCTACTGATTGTTTTAAATTAAGATAATCAGTATTTTTCATATASAACCTGTTAAGGTGGTTTATTGACTACTGGTGTGATTTTGTTGCTTTGTCCAGAAATTTGAAAAGCCTCGTTTTGTGCTGTGTATGTGTTTTTTGAAWGATGGGARCCTTCTCACAGGAGACTCGAATGGAAACGTATTGGAGTGGCCTCAAGGTAAGGGAGCGGATGAAGGATAATCAAACAGTTACTTTCCTGATGCATGATCATCGTCACCGTTGTATTTGAATCATTTCTTTTAGTGTTTTAATAGTAATAACCTACTATTTACTAGGTACTAATCATATTGGCAAGGCAGTTCTTGGAGCGCATGAGGTACTACTTGTAGTTCTTATTCAGTGTGCTGGCATTCAGTTGTATTGATGGTKGATACAGTTATCCATAGAATAGAGGTAGTGTTTTCCGCMTGCAACTCTTCGCTATTCCTTTCTTTGGGCACATTGTTGTAAGACTGGAGGTTGCATTGCAACAAAGGAAAAACCCAAAGTAAGGAAAAAGCGGAAGATTGCCTGCAGAAGATACTAAGGTAAAGCCTGGCATGTATTGCCCCAAACAGTATTTTGCAATTTTTGAATGAAATTGAATTTGAATGTAAGGGGTTAATCGTATTAACTAATCCCAGCCGAGCTTTATCGCAGCAAAAAAATGTTTAGGTTGTTTTTGAGACTGATATTTCAAAAAAATAAATTAATGTACCCTATATAAGGAGTTGTCAATCAAACTATTGTAGATTCACATTCCTTTGAGTTTGTTTACTTCAGCGACGCCTGGCGAATTTGAGACGGCTCGCTAAATTAGCCAGCACTTGCTCTCAAATTCGACCCAAAACCGAAAACCAAAAGTGATTTTTCGAGTTATATGCTGCGACAGGACTGGATTATAAAGCTCGTCGACTAGGCGGCATTAACATCCAAAGAATGCAATCGGTGCAATATTTTGCCTGTAGGTGCGAGTGGCTTGACACTTCAAAAAAATCTCCTTCCCACCCTTTTCGTGTACACCACAAAGTCGAAACTTAGGCATTCCTTTTTTTCGGGGGTTCTTTTTACCCAGATATCGTGCTTAATGTGAAATATTTTCAACTCTAAGATAGAGTTTTATTACTAGCTGTTGTCATGGAGTGCATTTGGTGATCTTCATTTTCGATATTGGATACTTGCAATTTTTACAAACATCGGTCGCAAACGACCAATAATGGCCTATAGCGGACCTCAAAGGGTTTACGTTTATTTATCATACATATAATTTTGTTCACTGATTAAGGACTGCAACATGATTGATGTAAGAAAATGTCATTAACAGATTTCTTCATACAGGGACCARTATTTTCTCTTTGTGCTTTGGATGATGGCGGCTTTTTGTCCGGTGGTGGACGCGATAGGCTCCTTGTTCTGTGGAACGAAAGCTATCAGGCTCTCAAGGAAATCGAGGTGACACAAGGCAACGCATGCATTTTTGCATTCACAAATTCAAAATTCGTATTAAAAATGTATACAAAAAATATTAACTTTTTCCCGAGTTATGTCTTGTTTCTAATGAAAAGCCAGTTAAACAAGTATTGTTTAGGTATTTGTTTTGTATTTGTTGTGACAGCTTCCCGAGAGCGCTGGCCCTGTGAGAGCGATAGCACGTGGCGTCGCCAACGAAGATGGAGAATACCAGATAKCCGTTGGTACAACCAAGAACTCACTACTTACAGGAACGTTTGASAATGGTTTGTCSTCTCTGATCACAGTAAGTATCGTACATCACTTCATCAGTCACGCTGATGATTCTAARAATTCGATAGGAATTGGGAAAAATAGATATGCTATAGAAACACTATCCARCTGATCCGAGTGATCCATCAAATGAATATATAGATAATAAATAAATGACTGCGCATATATTTCCTTCTTATTCCAGGGCCATACTGATGAGCTATGGGGTCTTGCTATTCACCCAACAAGACATGTCTTCGTATCCTGTGGTTATGACAAGCAAATAATGCTTTGTAATGCTGAAAATCACACGGTTATATGGAAAAAACAGTTCGAGGTTCTTATAGTACTTAGTATCCTAATGCTTGTTTAGCAAACCTATATACGTAGCTATTTCCATTGCGCAACGAAAGTGTCTTAATAGCTGCTTCATTAAATTATCATCCCTACGTTTTACCTACATATTCTTTCCCAATTCAATTCTTTTTTTCATTGTTTTAGGAATCGCTTCAATCAGCTGCTTTCCATCCAAAGGCCTTTGTTCTCGCCGTTGGTACTCAAAGTGGTAACTGGATGGTTCTTGACACTATTACGGGGAGTCAACTAGAAGCTTTTCACGACGGCCCCGAGCAACTTGATGCTATTAAGTATTCACCAGGTAGGAATAGAAACACAATATATAATAACTTAACTTACTTTAACTTACCTTTTAACCTTTAACTTACTCTTTAAGTTCATGTTCACAATATTCCACAAAATGCACAATTTTAACATGGAAAATCAATTATTCGCATAATCTGTGAACACCTTAATACCATAACCATCAGTTGTTTCGGTCCCACAGATGGAAAGTACATTGCTGTTGGGTCTCATGATAACTTTATCTACATATACACYGTTAGTGAGGATGGACGGACATATCGACGACATGGAAAGCTGTCTGTAAGTTCATTTGTCGCGCCTATACAGCTTGTTCTAATCTATATATCTGAGAGTATGCATTGCAATAGAAATAACTGAGAACACAGCCTGAAATAAGTATATGTTGCGTGCCTGACGACCAGCATACAATGCAGTAAATGGAAGAAACAACCAGTAATATTTCTTTTTATTCAGGGTCATTCAAGCTTTGTTACGCATCTGGATTGGTCCAGTGATAGTCAATACATACAGAGTAACTCAGGAGACTATGAGATTCTCTACTGTAAGTGTTATATTTGAAACAGGCGGAGATAATTATGTATAGTTTAAAACACGAGAGAGAGTCAGTGTTTTATCAGGTATAAAGATTCGAGCCGAAGGCGAGAATCTTTATACCCGATAAAACACGATCTCGAGTGTTTCAAACGGCTTCAGAAACTCCAACACTAATTTGAAACTCAAATCCGTTAAAATTCTTGGAGAAATTGCCGTACAAATATGTTCAGAGATAAATGGGGCAAACTGATCATGCGCGAAGCACTTTACAAAGCACTCTTGTCATCCCACATTSAATCAGCATAAAGTAAAATAGAAGCGCTCTTGGCTGTTCACTGAAATCRGTTGACATCCWGCATTGGTCAATGATCAGGTTTCAAACCTGAGAYCTTTGCTAGGGTCATGGACCTTTATGTCTGATAAAGGTCACCCTTATTAGTATTCTTTATATAAAGAATACTAATAAGGAGTGTTTTATCTGATAGAAAGGTCCATGCATGTGACCAAATAGGCTCATTTTATTGGCCTAGTAGCTCATTAATTATGTATGAGTTTTTGAATGATTGTTTTGGGTTTAGAGACAACGTTCAGTTTTCATAGACTTGTCAATTCTTTTTTTTAACAAATGAKAAGTCAGTTCCGGTATAAAGCGCGCGGGAGAAATTATCGAGGAAGTCAAAACAAAGTTTTAAAAGAAACATGGCGTAMGTTAGTCTTTCTGAATTAAGCCATGGCTAAGAGCCTACTATTAAAAAAAAAGTGTAGGAATAGACACGCATATGAAAACGACGTGACACGCCTAAATACGGGCATAAATACTCCTATTATAATTGGCAATTTATTCCTCCGTCACGCTTTCTGTGCCATGGCTTATTTTTGCAAAGCTCGCATGTSTTTCTCTCTCAACCTCTGTCGTTTATGTCATTTCTTTTTTGATATTCATGATTTTTTGAAATCATTTTAACTGATTACGATTTTTTTTCTATCTTTTTAAAAGTGCATATAAAGGAATTTTTTATGTTTACTAAAGATAGATTACCAATCATTGAATATGATTGAGGAAAAGAAATTAAAATACCGAAATAGAGGTGTGTTGTTTGAGGCGACTCAAGTTCAGAAAATGGCCTCCTGTGCTTTTTGTATCGGGAGACTCCTAGAGAGACTGGAGACAATAAACRTGTGACGTAGCTTCAGTCAGATCAGTCTCGAAATTTGTAGAGAAATACTGGCGAAATTCCGTCATTCAGGTTTGAATCTGACATTTAAAAAAAACGAAATTCGGCCGAATTAATATTCGAATGAATTATGTCAACAAGTTCTCATTAGCAACGATGTGCGCCAAAAAAACATCATACGGATGCTACGTCACTCTTATTGTAACTGGTATCCTAGGACTCTCGCTATAGAAAACACAGGAAGCTATTTTCTGAAGTTTAATCGCCTCAACTACACCCAACTATTTTGATTTTTGAATTTCTTTGCATCAAACCATATTTAAAGTGCAACTGAACCCTTTTAGAAAATCATTTTTAACAAAAGGCAAATATRATGCTAATCATTGCCTTGAGGAAAAAAATTGTTTGAATTTTATTTTCTGAGTTAAAGACATTTGAAAATTGAAAATGCTAATGAAGTGACGTCAATCAAGGAATTGGGCTGGAGGTTTTTCATTGTTTGVGATATCTTGTGTTCGGTTGAAATGGTCAAATCATCATTAACAGTAATATTCAGGAGCTGGAAAAGTCATCTCCGATATTAAAAAAAGAGTAATGTATTTTTATCGTGATTTTGAATATTAAATCATTGCTTAGTAGACGTCACTTAATTTGCATTTCCGATTGTCAAATATTTCTAAATCAAAAGATATAAATTTGAATGTTTTTTCCCTTTGCAGAAGTGCTTAGGATAATGTTCTCTTTCGAACGAAATTACTTTCTAGTAGAGTTAAGTTGCACTTTAACTCTCTGGCGACTGCCCTATAGAATTTCGTTCGAATTCGAGCGATGCGTCTAAAATTGATAAGTTACCGAAATAGTTAACTATAGCCCTGAAATTGTTAGTGCGAACTCACTAGTAAATATTGTCGATCTTAAAGTTCAAAGAATTTCCCAACGAGGTAAAAAAAGGCACAAAACAGTACTCTGCTTACAAGTGAATGCCAAAATTTGCGTTTGGAGGACTACAGGAAACACTAATTTCCAGCTCAATTTTTTGCGTCAAAACATGTTTTCCTAGCAAAAAGGCCACTTCACTTGCAAACCCYTTTGATAGCACGTCCTCATTTTGCCGTTTTTATTCTTTCAAAGTCACTGCAGACCTCTCAACAGCCCTCTTTTGAGCACCCGGTACAATAACTCCTATGCCCGACCGAAATGCATCACGGGAATCGACAAAATTTGGACATAAATCTTGCGGCATTCTTCTCTTAAGAATTATTTTGTGAGTTCCCCTGCACCTTCAGGCAAAATATCGGGCCAATTGCATTCTTTGATTGTCAAATATTGCCAAAATTACCTTGGTAGGTTAGAAAATCTGCCACAGATGGACCAGGAAAGCGATCTTACAATGGTGTCTCCAAACAAACCATGACTTATAGCCATTGTCTTCGAAAAATCGCTTTCCACCTCTGATTTCTTCCAGAAGATTGTCTCTGCCGACTAGTCAAGTTTAATGATGCAAGTCTAGGGTCTCCTGTGGCAGCAAAAAGCTCAAAAAAACACTAAAACAACGGTTTTTAAGGTAAATTTAGGTTTGACGACCGTTCGATAAACAAACGATCCGACCTAAATTTACAAAGAGTTGCATAAATTAACRCTCCCTAGGGAATTCAAATCCGCAATAGTTTGATTGACAACACCTTATATGGAAGTCAAATATTCCATCATCTTTTTATAGTCGAAAATGCTCCAAAATCAACAAATAAACACCCGTCATCAAAGGTTTAATTCCAAAAACGAGGGTCACGTGATCAGTGTTTTTTCGCACGATTTGTTAAAATGTCGGGTAGGGCTAACATATGATTAGGGTTAGGACTGTTGTCTTAGGGTTATGGTTGACATTTGACTTAGGGTTAGACTTGTCCTAGGGTTTTACATTAGAGCTTGTGGCTAGCGTTTTGACCTAGGGTTTTTTATAGTCGAAAATGCTCCAAAATCAACAAATAAACACCCGTCATCAAAGGGTTAATGATTGGACGCTTTCCTTAGAAAACACAAAAAATTCCTTTGTATGTACTTAAACTTAAATGTGAACTAAAACTGAATTTATTCGATAGTGCTATAATCCCTTTCAAATCATTTATTCAGAATTTTTAAAAAAATATGTTAAATCAGGTTTTTTTTTTTTCAATTTTAAAGCCTCATTAAATATAACTGGTATATCACTATCAGGAACATTTGTTATTTGCTATAAAGAATTCCAAATAGTAGTCACTTTACCAGCCTAATTAACGCTACTACTTGATTTCCTGGAATTCAGGGAACGCCCATCGCTGCAARCAAGTAGTTTCAGCATATTCCATGAGAGACGTTAAGTGGCATACATGGACATGTGTACTWGGTTTTCCCGCATGTGGTAAGTCACTTTAAGTTGTTTCAAACTTAACTATTGTTTTTTATATCATTTTTTAATTATAATGGAATTTATATAGGTAGCTGTAAATCTTTGCTTTGTTGAGTAAAAAACTCGGCTTCGCACTGATGTTAGAGTGTTTGTACCTGCTTGGCAACTTTCCCAGACATACTGAGATATTAAAYACAACGACGAGGAAGAATAAAAAGAAGTGTTTCCGGCACTGTTTACATGAAATAATAATATTTGGTGCTTTTTATGTATAGTTTAAAACTATAATACATTAGTTTTACCATACTAGTGGGCTMTTGCAAATCATTCKTTCTGGYTACGCTATTCGAGGTCTATTTTAAATGGTCCTCGACTAGTGAAAAGCGCAACTTTGTYCTGTTAGAAATATTGCGGGTCATAACACCATTTAAAAGTTTGTTCACTCAAAACGGCTTTCACCAACGTGTAGTAAACTAGACGCTCTTGGAGCGTGAAGTCGGACTAGCTATTTTTGAATGTATATTATTATGGCGTAGAATATTATATTTTTTACTTCTAATACATAGTGAAAGCAAGAATGCGTTACCGTTTATTCACACGGTACGATATTCTTTTTGACTGCTCTCTGCAACGACGATARAAATCTAAATTTTGACCTAAAAGATCATGTAATTAATACCCGMTAGACTAGATGTCGCTAAGTGATATCATATCTAATACGTTTTTAATTCAAATTGTTGACCTCTCAGGCCAAGAAAATAAATACTTTAAAAAAGATGCCTATAAAATAATCAAAGTCGCCTTTTTGTTATTKATAAACAAAGTTTCTTCTTGTTCCAATTTGAAATCTTTGCCCAAACAAGACTGTCTAGCCCTAGAATTCAGTTCCGTAAGCATACTACTCGAAGCTCCATGCGATCAGCACATGCGCGTACTTCTGATGACTAGACTGATGCATTCCGATGATCTCGAGATCACAGATACCACATTTGTAAACGAATAGTTTTTTTATCACATAAAAGTGCAAGTAGAATCTGACATTTACTAACTATATATTCGTACATCTATACGTTTGAGCTTCCGGTCATGTAATAACACAGCCAACCCAATAGTTAATTATTAAATTCTTAACTTCCGGTGGTSCAAACGCGACATGATAGATTGGCTAAAAGGTAAAACTTAAGTCGACCTAGCCTTCGGCTAGTCCGACTAATTAGTTTTCACTTGTCAAACATGCCAAGCGTGTCAAACGAAGTCGGCGATAATTTATGCAAATTTAATTGAACCCTTACAGCAAAAACCGTTGCATCGCGACTTCAACGTTCAAAGGAAATAGTTGAGATTTAGGTTTTTCTGCGACTTGGGGGCGGA